CATTTTTATATGGTGAACGTTGGTAGATTTTCCTATGTGAACAAGAGCTCACCGAGGTTTTCCATAATGTGTGAGAGCGGAACAATTCAGAAATGTTAACAGAGAGCACTAAACAGTAAATTACTCAAGGGTTTTTAACACACATCCTGTGATTCCATAAAGTAACAGTTGAGAAGTTACCTGATTGTATCTGTAACCGTGGGACAGAAAGAAATCTCTTTCTCTTATTTTCTTACGTTTTAAACCTAAAAAGAATTCCTACCGTTTATGTTAGAGAGAAGTCTTCCAGGCATGCTGGTGCCATTCTCTCCATTCCTTCTTCCAAGTCTGTGAAGCTCATTTCATGTGTCCCATTTACAAGAGTAAAATTAGCATGTTACCCAGTCACCATTTGGCTCATGACTCAATGTCAGTATAAAAATCATTTTAGCAGCTTCGTAGGCCCAACTTCTAGGATGTATCGGGGTGGAATGCGTCAATTTGTCTGATAAAGGAGACGTAAGTATCTACTTTTTACAGTCTCTTGATCTCTCTCTTAATCTGTCCATACTGCTACAGTAAAACCTTCTGGTTTATTCTTTCTGATAGTTTGTGTGTAGGATATTTTCAAAAGGTAAAGGACATTAAGAAAGGAAAAGACCAATGGGAATCATGAATCTCAGGTCCGTTAGACAAAGGAAGAATTCTTAGAGCAAAAATGTACCACTTCTGTTGTTAAAGAGTGAGAAAGTTATAGGCTCTTTTAAGGAGAAAAAGGAAGAACAAGCTTGTTTCTTATTCCTTATTCATGAATTTTCACTCAATTTTTAGACTTCAGGTTTTAAAGATTTATGCTTTAAAATTTAATCTAACTTTAAATTGTTCAATATTTGATAAAATGTCTTTCTCCTTTCTTTCTCTCATCAGACTTTCAATATTAATATAATTGGATTGTTTGCATTAAAAAACCCACACTATTACCTTATTTATATCTAATACCATCATTTTGTCATGTCTAGAAAATTCCAGTTATAACTACATAAACAGGAAACTATAGTGAAGATTCAAAGTCCACTTTTGATAACTTTTCCCGATTTCTTTTTCTAATAAGTTTACAGTTACAAGGTCAGAATAGGGGCCAACAGCTACTCTATTAAACTTCTACCAGCTGCTCACAATTATTTTACTTATTTGGAATTTTGTCATTTTCTTGGTGAATATCTGTTAGACAGCTTTCTTGGTGACAGTTTTCTAGAATTTCAAAGCAAAACTACAAGTAATCTTATACAGGTATATTTGATATAAAAGATATTTTCAGATGTCTGATAGATATATCTGTAAACAGAAGACCTATGTCTACCAGCCACCATGAGGGTAGAAATAACTGATTTTGAGTACCTAATGGGAATTCACTAAAAAAGTGTAATTGTAGAGAAAGAAAAATATAGGAAAACATCCATATATTTTTATTTAAAATGTAATTATATTCCTTCCTTCATTCCCTTGTGTGTGCTATTTGTCAACTATTGTTATTTCACTAGAAAAGCAATTGAATAACTGGAGGGAAAAACATATAAGAAATAAACTACTGCTTTTACGATAGTCATAGTTATAATGGCGACTGTAATTGGATGTTTAGTACTTAGTTTCAGTGTTAAAGGTTTGGAATTGGATGTACATTAACAAATACATCTAATAATGCTTAAAGGGAGTGCCCCTTTACAGGAATAAGCTCTTCTCACTGTATTATATTTCACTCAAACAAAATGAAAACTACACGTGAACCTTTTCAAAGGTGAAAGATTTATACGATCTGAAGAGAAACCAGTGTATACATGAACATTTAATATATGAGTGAAACATGCATTTATATCTTCATAACTCAGCTGTTTTCTGTATGTGCTCATTGCTTAGGAGTACACTAAATGAAGATTCAAAATAAGTTGTTGGTTCCCCCCATACAAGTAGAATTGTCACCGGATCTTTTTAACATTCCCAAATAAATAAATCAGAACACAGTAAACCTTCTTTTAATTCATATCTTCCATAGAAAATCTTACCACCTATCTTCATTCCTGATATTACAAATCTCCTTAAAACTATTGTCAGCAAAGTGAATTAGATATAAATCCTGATAGGCACCTGTGCTATTATGATAGTTTGTGTTGATAATGGAAAAAACCAAAGCATCTGTAATGCCCTTTACACAAAACCCACAGACCTAGGTTTAAGTCATGTTTCTATGTATAAGGTAGCAGTTACTTAAAATATCTTGAGACTTATTCTCTTCATTTGAAAAAATAAGTATATTTTCCTTCATGGCATTATGATCAGATGAGAAACAATAACATTTGTGCTTTTTAAAAAACCTGTGTTTTGAAAAGTCATAAAAAGAGACCAGGAGTGAAAATGATAGTGGAAAGAGCTTATTCCTGTAAACTCCACCTCCTCTTATAGGTTTGTGAGTATATTTGCTAGGTTGATGTAGATGTCTAATTCTAAACATTTAACATAATGTAAAGACTGAATACTGTGTTGTTTACTGGTAGTGCAGATAATGAAAATATCCTTACAACTAATAGCACTGAATTACTCCAAGGTCAGAAACTTGATCTCCACTCTAACTCAGTCACTGACAGGTAGCCCGATGACTGAAGTAGAAAGAGAGAGTAGGCACTCAATTAACTATGTGAAGGTAAAACAGATCACTTGAATTATCTTCACCTGTGTAATCTTCTGGATTGAAGTAAGTGAATTTTTAAGATTTATAATTTAGTGGAATAAGAAGCAGGGAAGTTTTCTGTGGATGCTGATGGCAAGTGATGAATGCATTTCTCCCCCACTGGTCATTTCTATTCAGCATATTTTTATTTAACACTGATCATGTATAAGGGACTCTGCTAGGAATTGTATGGGATTAACATATTAACAAATGCAGTTCTTGTCTTTCAGAGCCTGTAATCCGCCTTATGCTACTTAGAATTTAAGTACCCAGTACAGGTACCAATCAACCCCATGAATTGCCAGCTGAAAAGTCAAGGGAAAAAAAGTAAAAAACAAGATGGTGTTTGGCTGAGTTTTGAGGGCCAAATCCATTTTAACAAGCAAGTTTGTTAGGGGGAAAGGCATTCCAAGTGGAGTAACAGACTTGAGCAAATGCACCAGAGAAGCTCTGGGAAAATATTGTGTTTTTCTACGGCATACCAAGTATGAGAGCAAGTAGTTGAAATTAAAACAGCAAAAGGGGATCCTTTCCAGACGGCGAAAAGACTTAAAAGAAATGCTAAAAAAATGTCCTGTGTCTTTCATAGGCTGTGGGGCAGGTTTTGAAGGCCTTTCAGAAAAGTAAAAAAGTGACTCTGATAGCAGCATTTTGGATAGATAGGGCATGGAAAAATTTAGGGAATAAAATAACTCAGCAGTAGTCTTAGTAAGAGATTTTCTTATGTTTTATAGGAAATGAGTGATGTCAAATAAAAACAAACATGGCCTGGCAAGTGATTTAACATGGATATCAAGGAAGAAACATAAATAAAACTGTGCTCGCCGCGGTGTGCCATGTTAAAGGAAGTGGATGATGGCTTGAGAGATGGAAGGAAATTAAATCAATAGTGTGCCTTAAAAAGAGGTCACCTCATCCAGAACAAAAAGAATAGTGATTATACAGAGAAATGCTGTTTGGGAAAGGAAGACTATTAAGAGAACTTACAGCAGATGTCCCACACCTTCTCAGGAAAGGAAGGTGCAGAGTCATCGCTTAGGGCAGATCGTGTTTGGTGTGTGGACTGAGCAGGGTTTGAAATCCTCCCCGCAGAGAAAAACACAAGGAAGAGTCAACTAGAGGTGAACAAAAGAATCCCTGAGCAACTCCAAGTGTATACTAATAATAGAGTCAGAAATTCCTGGTTGAGCCAGTTGGCAGAATTTTGTGACTTTTTCTGGTAACATTCAGCCACCCTGTAGAGATCAGAGAAAGCAGACTGTGGTGTTTTCCCAGTAGCGAGGTGAAGGTAGCAAAGCAATGATGACAACAGATCAAAGGCATGTCTTGATGCTAAGAAAAAGCTACACAAAGTGATTCTTGTAGGACTGGACCTAGAGGAAACTAAGGTAAAAATGGTTCAAAAAATTAAAGACAGGGCTAGAGTGAAGAACTGGGTTTAATTTAAATATAGGAGGAAAAGAAAAAGAAAAGGAAGGAATTCCCAAATTCAGGAATTTAGAAATGAGGTGATTTTGAGTAATCTTTTTTTTTTTTACACCTTTTGGTATTTTATTTCAAAGATGCAGTCAAGAAAGTGTGTCATTCTTCTCAAGCAGTGACTCACCCAGAGGGCCGGAGGGAGGTGTCCTCCTGAACGGGAAGCAGTATTTGATCAATGACACTGTTTAGAGTTGCTGGTGTGTGGTGATAATGAAAAGCAACCTGGATTGTGGCCAATTTCCATTAATATTCTTAGGCTTTGTACAGACGGTGCACTCACTCACTCCTAGGATGGACCACTGACACTCATCCCCCACCTATTTTAAGTTGGAATGATGTGCAGCATTTCACTAAGTAGGATTAAGGCATGAATAGCCACCTTTGAAAGACTAAAAGACTAAAATGGTATTAGAGAAAGAAAATTCTATAATCTAAACCGTCAACAAACCCTGGCATGTATCAAGTCTAGCCCACGGCCTGTTTTTATAAATGAAGTTGATTTACTACATTTTCTTACTGTGTTGTCTTACTGTGTGGCTTCATTTACCTATGAGGATAACGTGGAATAGCTGGAATGGAGATCACGGGATCTTCAAAGCCTACATGTTTCCTGTCCGTCCCTGCATAGGAAAAGTTCCATGACCTTTGACCTCTATACTTAGGACAAGAAACAGCTCATCTTCCTTTATGAACATATAAGTAAGACAGTTGTTTCACAACCCTGTCTTGTAGGCCAGAAGTTTAACAAGTGTCTTGGTTAAATGTTTGCCATTGATTACTGTTACATTTGCCTGTTATTTTTTTCTCTCTTTTGTAGTCCCTGCTATGTGGATTATTTGTTAGCAATGACTGATGTGGAAACTACATATGCAGATTTTATTGCTTCCGGAAGAACAGGTAGAAGAAATGCAATACATGATATCCTGGTTTCCTCTGCAAGTGGCAACAGCAATGAATTAGCCTTGAAATTAGCAGGTCTTGATATCAACAAGACAGGTGAGTCATTTGGCACACATCTTATCTATTACCATGGGATGATGTGCAGCATTTCATTAAGTAGGATTAAGGCATGAAAAGCCACCTTTGAGAGTAACCTAACGGAGTTCAAAACAGGGCAGGATGAAAGTCTAGGACTGATCTCACTCTGTTCTCAGTGATTCTCCTTATAGGGTATCCCCACTGAAATGCAGAGGCCTTAACCTGATTTTATTAATGCAATTAATAATAAAAAATGGCATGTTTTCTTAATCTCAACCTCTCTAAGAACTCTGAAATTACTTATGTAGAATATTTAACAAAGATAGACCTTCTACCCTTGACAATATTGGCCACCTCTAATGTTTAATGCATAAATGTTTAACAAGATTCATGAATCAGTGTGATGGACCTCGATTCTAAGAACAGTTTCAGAAGAAAAGGGCCTTCAGAATCAATTTTATTGAGAATAGAAGTAAAATAGTCTATTATGTAAGTAAATTTTAGGTAAAAGGGTCCTTGAGTTTTCTCTTTCATCATAGAATAAGTTTGTAAAAACTGTCTTTTTACTGGGCCTTGAGTTCTCTCCTAAGGAGTCTAACTGCTGATGAAAAAGGAACACAAATTTGACACATTAAAATACTTGACAGCCTTACTTTTATTACAATAAGTCCTGTACCTTCTGTAAATATCAAAGTTGAATGTGTTTTCTTGAGACTTGTGCAAAAATAACCTTTAAAAGTAAAAAGAATTCCTGATCAAGGAGCCGTAATATTGTATATGTGAAAAGCACTTATTTGCAGTTTCTGAACTCTAACCATTCAGTGGCTTTGCTATTAGAATTTTTGTGGGAAAGCTTTCAGATTATTGGAACACTGACTGAGAGCGGGTATGTACACACTAAAGAAACAGCTCAGCGGTGCTTCCTTGAGATACACAAGAACAGCATGTATTCAATGTCTAAAGGACCATCACCACTTTGGAGTATCTAGACCTATATAGGCTTTAGGTTTCATTGTTTCACAAGTAACCTCTGGGATACTTCCCAAAGCAACTCTTAGAAAGACTATAATAGGGAATTACTCCAGTCTGGTGACATGGAATGGGTAAATAAATTTTTATTCTGCAGTAGTTGAGAATTTGTTAATTTCTTTCATAAGATTTATATTTTTTTACATGACTTTCGATTTTAAATAATCTACATTCGTTTTAACCACCCTTAATGAGGGCATTTTCTTATTCATAGTGTAATTTAATTTCTTCTTTTTCTGTTCTCCCGGAAATTGAGAATTATTAGGCCCAAGACCTTTCTTATACAAGAAAACATACTAAATTATTATAAATAACTTAGATAATAAACTGCCATTTGATATGAATAAATATAATAAAATAATTTTCTATCTTGTGTTAGTTATATGATTAAATGATTTAAAATAATTCAAATATCTTTATAATTTAAATGTCTCCTCAAAACATTTCTGCATGTTAATTGCAGTTCTCTAAGCCCTTGAAAATTTTTCTGTATCCCTCGAAATCATAAAGTCTAGAACTAGGGAAAGTATAAATAGCACTGACATTATTTTTCTAAGTATAAGAACTAAAAATAAAAACTGCTCGATATAAAAGTCTAAAATATTCAAAATGACAAATGTATAATGACAAATTTAACATCGCTGAGAAACGTGAGGGACTTCCTTTGTAATTCCTGAGTGTTTTGCTTGGTTATACCATATACTGAACTATATTGCTGACCTATGTTCACTTTGCATCCTTTTAGCCATAGGTCTCTGTTTGCATCCTAATACGAAGCCCTGAGAAGCATCCCTGGCCACCTAGAAAGTCCTAAGTCCATGAGAGTTGAGTTCTTCATTTTGTATTTATGCAGTCACTTTCATCCTTACATATTCTACTCTCTTATGTCTGCCCTAATTTGACTTCTTTCATTTGGTTACCAAGAGCTTCTTTTAATTTATTTTTTTTTTTCTTGGCCAGGGCTGGGTTTGAACCCACCACTCTCAGTATATGGGGCCAGCACCCTACTCCTTGAGCCACACAAAGCTAAGCAGGGTGGGGCCTGATTAGTACTTGGATGGGAGAGCTTCTCTTATTTTTGAAGTTCTTGTTGCACGCTAATCTGCACATCTGTATAACATGGAAGCCTATTCATTGCTTTAATAAAGAAAACAATGTATGAAAATGAAACAGAATGCTTGGTCATACCGTTAGTACCTCTTTAGAACAGAACACGATTTTTATAGGGAACAACTACTTTTATTTTCCCTAAAGACTCAATATCATTGTGATAGTATGATGTTTTGTTTGTGCTTAAGAGTAGAGGAGAAGCTGCCTTTCAGCATTATGATCCAAAGAATAGACTGGCCCACTTAATTTCATCCATTTGATTATGATAAACTCTTAGAAAATTTTGATATAATTTATATTATTGCAGCACCCTGAAATATTTTGTCTACCCATCCATATTTGCCACATTGGAACCAAATAACACATACAAACATATCAACTAGACCTACAGCTTGCAGTCCTATGAAGTGACCCGATATGAGGGAAAGCAATGTTCAATTTCAGCGTCTGTTGTGTTACTGGTTAAGATTACTGCTCAGTGGGCAGTTACGAGGATAGTTTTGTTTGAATTATTCATACACTTGTTCTCTAAGAGCAGGCAGAGTGGGCCAGAGGCCATTATACCAGCTTGGCAAGGAACTAACCAGCTGCCATAATATCCTTTCATTGCCCACGATTGCTTTTACACCTCTGAGAAATCAGCTGGTTTATCACTGAGGGCTTTAAAAAATGAAAAATGCAAATTTAAAATATTTCTTTTGTAAAATAGTCATGATAATGTAAACACGTTCCCACATCTGATTTCCTAAGGGACTTCTGATTCCTGCAACCTGTGAAAGTTAAATTGAGGTGCTATGACCTGGGCATGAGACTTCCTAGCTATTTATTGAAAACATAGCTGATAATTAACCACTCCAAGAATTCTCACACTATTTTATTTTTGAGCCATTCTGTCCAAAGTTTACAGAATTAGCCCTTAAAAACATAAACAATTTTCTTGATGGTGAACTGAGTACCAAGAAAATACACTTGTCTCTGCGAGGACTTCAGACTTCTCATGGGTTTCTGAAATTTCTAACATAACATACTGAGAGTATATAAATAGAACCAGCTGTTTATATTTTCCTTTATCTTTTTTTTTTCCATTTTCTCTCAAAGAAGGTGAAGAAGATGCCCAGCGGAATTCAACAGAACAAAGTGGGGAAGCCCAGGGAGAAGCAGCAAAATCTGAAAGCTAACATCCCCCCTTGACCTTGAGCAACACCTGACGATGTCTGCCATCTCCAGGCGCGGCTGGAGTGCATTTGTTCCCATGAGTGAAAAGGGGCAAAAGAAAATGGCTGTGCTGCATTGCAGGAACCTGCTGTTTATGTTAAAACCGGGGGCAGAGGCTGTGGCTACAGACAGACTTTTCTCTACCTCTGTCATTAGCAATGGTTGAAATCATGTGGCCTGTGTCTGGAGGTCATTTTTGTTCGGATCCTTTCACATGACCATATGATGAAATGCTTGTAGAGAGTAGCACTGACCTAGATGATGATTCTTCCTGTAGCATCTGGCCCTTACCATGTCAGAGGATTTAATTGTGTCTAATTGCGGAGGGTTGGTTGAACCCCAGAGTTTAAATATCTCTGGCTCAAGTATTCACCCAGTAAAAGAACCATCCAGAAAGCACTGTTTTTAGCATTCTGTATCTGTGTGTTACTGCTGTGTTATTTACACTGTTTTGTATTGTACACTATAGATGCTCAGCACTGCCCCCCTTCTCGGATTGCTTATGAAAAACAAAATGATGTACATTACTGTGAATTTTTATACCACTCATTTTTAAAAGGGCTGTCTTATTTTTAATTTTCCATAGTGTGGTGGTGTGCACAAGACAGGACCCACTTTTTAAAATGTCATCTTTCCCCATGATCACTGTATGTTGATGAATAAGTCTAAGAGATTCATCAAGACTCTGTTGCTTTATTATACAGACATTTGAAAATATCCATTAATGTGAATATTACTTGAATTGGGTCTGTGTGATATCTGCACAGACCAGGATTCAGTCTGTGAACATTGTTTTATTCCCAAGTGGAGAACTTCTCCCAACTAATATTTTTAATTATGAGAATTTTAGAATTATCTTTGAATTGGGAAGGTAAAAAGGAAAAGCCAAGATTATACTAAGAACTGGAAATATCTTGGGCTATGGAATCAAATTTCTCACAATGCTGTATGCTACTCTTTAAACTTGGAGGACAGCACACCTTCCTAGAAGGTATTTTTCACACTGTAAAAGATGAAGATAGTGATCTCCTTGCAATCACGTGAGCACCAATCACAACAGTCAAGCCCTCATGTTGTGTTTTTCATGTCTTTTTCCAGCCCTATCAGATCCAAATGTTATTATGCACTTTTTAATGTTTGTAAACTTTTACTAATAATTAGTGTGAATTGCATTCTGATACAATAATTATCATCATTAGAAGCTAACACGATCTTCATTAATATGGTGTTTGATGGCCTCTGCTGTGTTTTGACATCATGGTTCTTATACGAAAAGTTTTGTGAGCTCTGTAATCCCTCTGGTCAGTATTATGATATCATTTATCAGTGGTAATAAATAAGGAACCAGTAATACACCAGTGCTTCCTGAATTACTAGACAAATAGCAGACAACAGGAGGTCTCTTGACAATAAAGAGCCCACGTGGCTGTCCTCCATGGCTTGGATGCACTCCCAGGTGAAACAGACAGAGTAGCTTTTCAACAGGTAATCTGTGTGGTTACACCAGGAACTCAACCCTTCTTTGTAATAGCATATTGGATGAAAGGTAAGTCTGCTCACATCTCCCCTTACAGGCCTTTTCAATGAGTAGGATAAAGACATGGGTCTCATTTAGCTCTCAATCAGATATTGTTAGGAAAAAATGTTTTAAAATGTGAGTCTTGCCAAGAACAGAAATAAGAAATAAATTTTGAAATACTTCTATCTAAGTCATCAGGGGCCAAAATCTCCAGTTAAAAATCAAAGAAATCACCCATTAAATAGATGTACTAATATAAAAAGTGGTTCCTGAGGCTAAGACAAATCTAGCCATTTTCAAACATCCAACCCCTGTAATCAGTTTTTGATACCCTTATTTGCTATCCTCCTAGCTCCCTTGTGAATCTAAAATGCTCTTCTTCCTTAAAGTTGTGTAATGCTGAAGTGATTTTGTGTACTTTTGTAAAGTTTAGAACCAGTGCTGAGTATATGTGGAGGATTTCTATTCGTATGTGATACACTGTTATTAATGCATGTGGTACCATGCTTAGCTTTGAATATATAAATAGTGCTAAACTGCAAAGTCATATGGAGCCATAGGTTTAGTTGGACCTCTTACTGCTACCTTGTCGCTTACATTGAGATCCAGAGGCATTCCTAAGCTGGGAATCATTTGCATTCCTAAGCTGGGATATAGGATGTGGGCCTCCCCAGAACATCCACATCTTATAAATTTTGTTTGTCAACAGATCACACTATCTTCCAGATTTTACATTATTATCTTTTATTTGAAAATCAATATTATGGATGGATCTGAATTTTTAAGGGGAGAAGTAAAGCGTAGGAAATCAAGGCTTTGGTTTGGTAATAGACATTGGATGCCTAGTAACCACCAACCCATCACTTTGCAAAACATATCCTCCATTTAATCCTCAAACAATTCAATAACAGTGGCATCTGTTTACTATTTCACAGATTACAAAAGTAGCAATCCATAAGGTATAAGCTTAAAAAGCTAATAAGTGATTAATTTATGATTTGAACTTCTGTTTGTCTCCAAGAAGCTTTCTGCTGCCCCTAAAACATGAAAGCCGACTGCAGAGCTGTAAGGAAACTTTTAGAGATGGACTTGTTCAGCCTCTATATTTTAGAGACAGAAACTGGATCCCAGAGAGGGAAATGGCTTTCCTCAAAACCTACGTGGGTAATGACATATATGTGACTAGTTCATAAAAAGTGTAGTTGTTTTTTTTTAAAAAAAGAAATTCAGTTAAACTTAGGTGGGAAGGGGTATGTGTCCCAGAAGGTATTCTACTGGCATGTACTCTATAAACTTTGCATGATTCATATATTGTGTTTCATGCTATTCATTTTGTTTAATTACATAGAAACATGAAGATTTCAGGTTTTTCACCCATTTGCAACAAATAAAATTATCAACTTTATTTTTATTTAATTGTTAGTATCCTACACCAACATTTTGTTATCATAAATCCATAGGAGCAGTTTTTCCAATAGATAACAGACATTGCAATCCAATTCTTAGGCGGTATTCCCAGAGTAACCCACTGAGAGTGCCCCACGCCTGTGCCTCCCTCAGACACAGTGAAGATGCACCATAGACAAACGATATTGCTATTTCTCTTTGGAGAAACGGTAGTGGGTGAAGAAATGTAACTGCCACACAGCAAATCTTCTGAGTGAAACCTGTAGTAGTAGAGAGAAAATGTGTCATCATCAAGTGAAAACCGGACAGGATCCTTGATTTATGATGTCTCAATAGTCCCTAAATTGTGCTTTAATTGCAAGGGTGGCAGCCTCTGAAGTCATCTGTGAGCTTGTATGACTTTTGTATTTAGCAATGTTGCATGCTCACAAAATTGATATTAAAAGTAACCCATTTTTCTGAAATGTACACAGTCTATTAAGAGTATTTATTGAACACACACTACTGTATACTTGGTGCCAGAGGAAGTCCTGCAGGTGTTACAGGAGAAACCTAAACCCCCTCCAGCCTGCGGTGGGCCCACCCACTGCTCCAGCTTCGCTTTTCCCAGACTTTACTCCAATAACTTTTATCTCCGTTCCCTCCTGTCGCCCACTTCCTGGACTCTGTCATCCACCAGAACCATCTCACTTCCTAGATCTTAAATTTCAGTACCACGCCTACAGTTCTTAGTTGTTCATCTGCAGGGAATTAATTTTCAATCAGGAGAAAATGATACTTACCAGAATCCCCCAAACGTTCTCACAGCACCCACACACACGTAGATACTTTGATACACAAACACTGTCATTTCCTTGAAATAACTCCCAACGTGGCTTTGATATCTTTCCCCTCCCACCTGCACTAACTGGGCACTAACCACTAGACAACGGTTGACCTAGAAGTTGTTCAAGGTCTTCCTGATGCACCTGCCCTGCCCACTCCACTCCATGCCTTTCATGTGAGTCAGGAACAATATGCAGTCCTCACAGACACTGTGATTTGGCTTTGTTCTGGGTATCATTTGAGCAGAGAGCAAAGAGAGCTGTTCATATTTCAGTGGCTTATCTTTTTCTCAGTATTTTTATCACGATCAAGCAGTGAAGCCCACACAGAAACCAAGGTGGGTCTCAGGAGAAAATAGGCATAAATTGTTGTAAATATTTAAGTTCACCTTATACAGGTTACAAAGAGAACACGTTCTAGGCATTCGGAACGAACAAAGTGCTGGCTGTTCAAGTTGTAGAGCCTCTTATGTGTCATACATTTCTTGCATCTTTCAAGTTCAGAATGTGCGGATTTTGAAACCTTGCCATTTCTCATAGTAAAGTCAAGATTAGCAAAACTCTGACCATAACCCAGTAACTGTCTAGCTTGCACTGTATATCCTTTCTGTTAAGCTGGATGTTTCCTCAACAATCCTCCTCTGTCTGGTTCATCTTTCTCCATGGTCCTCTCAAGTTCCTGACTTTCTTGTCTTCCTGTCATCTCTGCCCCATCATTGCCAAACCATCTCCTTTTTCTTTACATGTCTTCCAGCTGACTGTAGGAAGTGTGTGGCAATGCTTAGTCATTGTTTGCAAGCTTAGTCAAGACATAAGCACGGCACAGCTCTTTCTTTTCATGTGCCTGGGGACCAAAGAAGCTTCCTGTGTCCTGGCTAAGATTTATTCATTCTTAGGAGGTTTTTAAACACCTTTCTTCTAACCTTAACAGAAGGTCTATAAATTATTCTTTTTATCTTCACTAACTTTACCCTTCCACAAATGCTCTCAAGTTTTCAAGTTCCCCTGTTTCCTTCACGACTTAGGTTTCTCAGAATAGCAATCTCCCTGTTTTAATGTTTCTTATCCTTTTGCAATTAGACTTCCAGCTAAATATTTCCCCTTACCAGTGACATCTTGAGTAGCTCCTGGCCTCCTCAGTGATTGTCGCTGAATCCCCACCCAAACTAAAGAGGTGATGATTCAGAGGACTCACCTAAAAAAAGATCCACATAAAACCAAAGTTAAAGTTTTTATGTTATTGATTCATATTAGTGTGATGGAACAGAGCTGAAGAATAAAATCTTCAATATTGAATCCACATATCACAAGCAAAAGTCATGTCTCACAGCATAGCACTTCCATAATGTACACATAAGGCATAACTTGATGACCCCACTCTCCCCGTAATGTTTGCTTGCTGCATCCGCATGTCCCATAGTTTTCATTTCTTTTTAGTGGTAGTTGCTACATATCTGGGCACTAACTGAAAGCCTGAACATCCAGCGATCGGCCAGACTATCTTGTGATATCGTACAGTTCTTGCATCCATTATGGTCTGGGATGAGTGCCAGTGATATCAGTAGCTCCTCTTAACAGCAGCTGTGTATAAGCAAAACCCCAGTCCCACTGTTCTCTCTGTTAGGCCTAAACAAATATATCTCCCCCAGTTGCCGAATATAATGGATTGTTTATGATTTTATTAGTGTGCCAAATCACATTTAACCTCATTCACCATGGAATCTTTTTGTAAAATGTTTTGTTTGCGTATCTTTTTTTCAGGGGCATTTATTTATTTATTTATTATTCCTTTCTCTCTGGCAACTCCTCACTCTCCTTGACCAGTTCCTCTTTCTCTACCTCTTCACTAAACACTGTGGTTCTCTGAGATTCCAACTTTACTCCTTTCTCTAATCTCTCTCTCCAGATGGTCTCTTCCCCTGCCATACCATCCACCACTTTTACCATGGCGAATCCCTTATCTTTATCTCTACCCCAGAAGTCACTCCTCGTTATCTGACCTATTAGATAGTTGAACATGGATTTCCCCAAAACATCTTAAAATTCAGCATTCCAACACTAAATCCAGAGTGGGATCTCACTCCCAAACCTGCTTTTCTTCCTATGCTACAGGTCTCATAAGATGGTAGCACCGGTTCAGTAGCAATCTCAGATCAAAATCCTAATAGCTATTTTAATCTTCCCTATTTTTCCAATTTGTTTTTTAGTCTATCAGTTCTAATACTTCACAACTTGCAGAAACTACCTACTATTTTTTTCTGCATTCCAACTCTCTAAATCATCATTTATCCCATATAACAGTGGTTCTCAACCTTCCTAATTACACGACCCTTTAATACAGTTCCCGTGGATCGCGACTCACAGGTTGAGAACCGCTGCCATATAATGTAATGGCTTGCTTGCGGGCCCTGCCTTATCCCACACTCCTTCTATCTGTCTTCCAACCAGATGTATTTTCCTAATGTATAAATAACTCTGATCATTTCCCTCAGTTTAAAAATGTGTAAATTTAACCAGATAGAACATTTCTGTACAAGTATCAAATTTTATTTCTGTATAACTCCTTGCTTTATGTTAGCATTTTTCCTCTTCCTTCT